TGATGCATTTAAGTCCAACATTTTAAAAAAAATCTTACCGGGGGAGCATGCCCCCGGACCCCCCGATAGGATTTGAGGCCCGGCCCCACTGTTCTCAAATAGATTTGCAATTTTTTTTAAATAGTAACCCATCTCCATATGTTTCTTTTTGGGTAGTAGATTTAAACTAGAGGGCTATCACTTTGTGCAGCAACGCTATTGACAAATAAATCCAGCAAAATGGCACAAAAAACTGGTAGTGGCCTCAGGGACGAGGAGTCATTTAACCAGCCAGTAGGAGTCAAGCTTTACTTTCTTTTATATCCATAAAGAAAAAGTAAATCTGTTTGCAGTTGTTTCATTATGGATGTTGAGAGGTATCCATATATCTCTTCATTTTGCTCTCAAAGTGCACCAGATTGATGCATCTAACTTCAATATTTAAAAAGACTAGAGGGTGTCAGGTCCACTCCCCACTTATAAAAATAGCACTTTACCACTGCACCCCCTCTAATCTCAGATGCACCCTGAGTCATTTTGCTTAAGTACAGTGAGCCTTTCTAAAATATACAGTAAAGAGACAAACCCACCAGCATTATAGCATATACTATGACTTTGTGCCAAATACTTGTTGCTGATTTAGAGTACTGGCACCTTTTTTATTTCAATTCAAGCACTGCTCATAATAACGTAACACAATCAGAGACCGGATATATCCCCCCCCCCCTCTCTCTGGTCGCTGAAATGGGGAAGTGAAATTACGGGCCAAAAGTTGTACAAGTATTAAAAGTAATCATAGGACACCAAACCAACTGAGACCTGTCTGTCCGCCGCATCTACGCACTGTACAACACACACACCTACAGCTCCTAAAGCATAATCAGGCTACAGTTGTGGTGTGTTTTATTTTGTGAAGCACTAAATGGTTTTAGAAACATTTGGACTCTTTGTTTGTAGATATCTACTAAACTAAAGCAAATAAAGAGAGTAGGCCTGTTATACTGAGTGATATATATTATACACACTGCTCTGCTTTCTGCACGGACCTCACAGCTGTTCTCACTGGAAACATCGCGTTGCGATGAAAGCAGTTACTAAAATAATATTCCAGGGATGCATGCAGAGCTGTCATTGGCTGAGATAAGTCCGGCCGTGCGTCACGCCTCCACCGTCATTTCCAGGTCACTACCGGAGGACCGAGGAGTCGAGGAGTCGAGGAGGGGGAATTTGAGTATTGAGAAACCTCTAGAGAGAGAGTAACTAAAGAACATGTCACAGCTAATAATCACTGAGTGCTTCTTTAACCCCACAAAGCCTCTTTACAAAGTTTGTTTGAGTGCGTGACTTCTGAGAGTGTGAGACAACCAATCGCTGCGCTTCTGTGTGTGTGGTTGCCCTGGGTTACAGGTGATTGACAGGTGGTCAGACAGAGACTTTGGCGCCATCTGGTGGTGAAGAGAGAGAAATACATATCATGATATATAATACCATCATATGTATATATAATAATATTAATATATGATAGTTATTTTGCTTGTTATAATTAATGTATGTGATCAATCACAGGCCTGTATTTTTATCTTGGAGATGCTGGTAACGTATACTTTTAGAATGATATATTGTGCAAACAACCTTTATAAGCACAGTCTATGGAAGCAGATATTATATGTTTGAATCATAGACTGGTTAGAATGAAAGATGGATCCTGCTGAGTTTCTGTTGTTTAAATATATATATTATTCACATGGTTATACCTGGAAGTGGTTCTCTGTGTCCAGCAGGGGGCAGCAGAGACTCAGGAGAATCCATCAGCAATCATCAGCAATCAATAATCAACAATAACAAATAATCAACAAATAATCAATAATAATCAATAATAATCAATAATAACAAATAATAACAAATAATCAAAAGTCAGTGAAGTTATTTATTACAAAATAAAAGCATTAATATAACGTCATGGAAACATCAGCTGATCAGTCGACCAATCAGACGCTGAGAAGCAGCAGGAAGTAACATCAGCAGGTGAGTCTGCAGGGGGAGGAGCCAGGTTATTCAAATGAAACTTGATTAACAATCATCTCTGTGAATACACTTCAAAGACTTTAAGGATAAACTGTTTATATATTTGAGATTAAAGCGAATACAAAGCTGGTGTGTGATTGGCTCTCACCGTGTCTGTGGCTCCGCCCCCATCAGTTCCAGAGGTGATGGACAGCCAATCCCAGCAGGAGGAGGAGGCCGGGCTCCGGGCTGAACCGACCAATCCCTGCGGCCTGACAGGAAGTCATGACATCATCAGAAGAACAGAGATCACTTTATTGAACTGAGGACCAATCAGAGGTCACGATTCATGATGAGGTCACTACGTCACAGAAGGGTCTTTGTCTACCTGTCAGTTATTCCTTAAATCTGTTTTCAGATCCATCAGAGTCTGATACTCTATTATAGATACCCTGAGTGTATTCATACTGCGTACTGGTACTCCGAGTGTATTTATACTGTGTACTAATACTCTGAGTGTATTTATACTGTGTACTGATACCCTGAGTGTATTTATACTGTGTACTGATACCCTGAGTGTATTTATACTGCCTACTGATACTCCGAGTGTATTTATACTGCCTACTGATACTCCGAGTGTATTTATACTGCGTACTGGTACTTTGAGTGTATTTATACTGTGTACTAATACCCTGAGTGTATTTATACTGTGTACTGATACCCTGAGTGTATTTATACTGTGTACTGATACCCTGAGTGTATTTATACTGTGTACTGATACCCTGAGTGTATTTATACTGTGTACTGATACCCTGAGTGTATTTATACTGTGTACTGATACCCTGAGTGTATTTATACTGTGTACTGATACTCCGAGTGTATTTATACTGCGTACTGATACTCAGAGTGTATTTATACTGCGTACTGGTACTCCGAGTGTATTTATACTGCGTACTGGTACTTTGAGTGTATTTATACTGTGTACTAATAATCTATACTGCAGTCAATGTTAAAGTGTTAGTATTTTAAATACAAAACTGAAGACTCACCTTGTTGCCGACTGTGGCGGGGTGATAATGCCCGGTCACTGAAACACAAGTACTGCTGTTAGTACCACAAGTACTGCTGTTAGTACCACAAGTACTGCTGTGAGTACCACAAGTACTGCTGTGAGTACTGTGTATACTACTGTGAGTACCACAAGTACTGCTGTGAGTACCACAAGTACTGC